TGCATTGCAAACCTCCCATTGCTTGTTGTCGAGCTAACGCAGGGTGATCCTTTGCCAGTGTGGGGAGTTTCCAGTTCCTCCCCTCAAGCTCCCCCCCCTTCAAACTCTTGCAAGTTTTCAATCCTGCGGGAAGCTGCCCAGAGCCAGCCCTGTATCTAAGCAATTGGCAGAGGGTAGCAGTGGTTGCCTGCGGCTCGGGTTCACCCCCCCATGCGGTAGGCAGGGAGGTTTTGCTCTAAGGCTGAGCAGTCTGAGAGCTCTGACGGGGAACAAGCTGCATGTAGCTCTGGGAACGAAATGACTAATATTCCCCACCCTCAGTTTCAGGGAAGTGGACAAGCCCCAGAAACCTGTGCCAGCCGGGATGGAAAATGACCGAGTTTTCAATGACCTGTGGGGGAAGACCGACTCGCCCGTCGTCCTGAACAACCCCTACTCGGAAAAGGAGCAGGTAGGCGCCGGTGTCTTGTGGGGTGATTAGTTGGGGTGGGAGCCGGTGTAGAAGCATAAGATGGGCGGCAATCCGCGTGTAATTCATTGCTTCTCACACCTCCTTGCTGGAATGATATTAGCCTCATGTTTGCAGAATGGACAGAGAGGGAAAGTGATTTTTCCCCACCTCAGTGGGATCGCACCAGGGATAAGGTAGTGTGTGGAATTTCTTCTGGACTTATTGGGCCAAATGCTTTCTCAGATGGGACCAGTGTCAGAGGCAGGGCTAGAACTTGGCAGTTTCTGGCACCCAGCCCTGTGCTCAGACCATCCCATTCCCATGGCTCCCCCCTGCTGTAATTCTCAGTAGGCCGTGCAGCAAAGAACACTTTCCAAAGAGAAAAACAGATGAACATTCAAATGAAGAAGTCCAGACAACCAGTATTGCCTCTGCTCAGCTCAGTCACTTCCTGAAACAAAGGGCCTGACCTCCCACCCCCTTCCCGGCCAGGAACTATCGGCAGGGCAGGCACTTTTTGATGGAGTGCATGTAAGGCTATTTTTCTTTCATACCTATATTGATCGGCTCCTGCCCTCTGGGCTGGCGTTCGACCACTCTCGCCAGCCCAAGGCTTATTAATCTTTTCTATCCATTATTTATATTCCAGTAGTGCCGGTCAGGATCAGCGCCTCGCTGTGCTAGGTGCTGTACTAACAAGTAGGGTGACATTGTCCCTGCTCCAAAACATTCACAGTACAAGAGAAGATGTCAAATAGCAGCAATCGTCACGGTCCTTCCACCGAGCCATGATCCGGCCCTGGGCGGTGACACGACTTGTTGTCACATAGGGATTCTGCAGCAGAGTTCGGAACGTAACTCAGAGGTCTGGACTCCTAGTCCTGAACCCTACCTACTAGATCATTCTTTCTAACATAGCCTTGTTCTGTGCTGCTCTGTCCTACCCAGGGTCTCCATCGCTTGGTGTACTCCCTGCTCATTGAGAAGTGACTAAGATGTGGGGTACTTGGCACCTTTGTGGAGAGCTTAACTTTCCACTGAGACCTCGGCGCACTTTGTGAAGTGACGCAGTGCAGGCAGGCATCGTGGTGGACAACGATTTAGAAGTGTGGTACCTCCTTGTGCCTCCAGGAAATAAGGGGCCCCGGGAGACCTTTCTAAACATCTCAATCTGTTCCTGGAGTTTAAACCTCTCCTGGATGGGGGACACCTGCCAAAATTGCAGGGTAATGGGTTGGTTTTTTGCTCTGTCACATCTGCTATGTTCTTTCTAAGGGCAAGATCCACTGTTGAGTCCCTAAATAAATATTTTTAAAAATAGACTGTAAGGGCTTTTAAATGTTTATTTATACAAAAAACACCCTAGTGCACAATCTAGGGGGGCGTGCACACACGAAATACAGCTCTTACCCAAGGTTCAGACCGAGGAAAGCCAGACAGTTCAGAGTAAAGTCTGAAAATCTGTCCTTATCTCCCCCAAATGCAGCCCCATATTGCAGATGATCTGGTTCTCATAACATCGTAGCTGATCTTGCCATATGTGCTGTAATATTTAGGCACAAGGAGGTGAATCCAAGAACTACGACACACTTCCCTCGGTTGCCAGAGTGACCTCCCTGTTTCAACCTGACTCTTTCCGCTTAGTTGTCGGTGGGTGCTGTGACTTCTCTTCCAGCCAAGCTCAGGTTACTGATTTGGTCCTTTCCCCTGTGCTTGGAAGCACAATCTTTCTGTTTTCTTTGCTAAGCTCCTTGCATGGGTCTGTGACTATAAGCACTTTATAACCTTCTGTGTTCAGAGCTTAATTTCTCTCCATGTTAGTGGTGCTACAATCCCCAGTCTTAAGCTGCTATTAAACTCATTTTTTTCCACTAGATGTGCAGGCTTCCCTTTTATCCTTCTTATCCCTATCGTTCTACATCCTCCTCCACTAGCAGTTTGGGTCTCTCCATACGCTTACCGCTTCCACATCTCCTCTCCCTCCCTTCCCTGCCCCCTCTCCCCGCTACAGCCAGACTTAGAACTTCTGCTGTGCCATTCAAGGCTGCCTTGGTGGGTTCAGGGCCGGGAGGGGTTGCATCTGAAGGTGTACCTTACAACCGGTGACGGCACCTGCCACTCAACTCCCCATCTATATAGGTTAATTGGGACCTACCAGAGGATCAATTAACAAGTGGAGGGCTAATTAGAGGGGGAAGCAACCCCAGCCCCAAGAATTAGAACGAAA